ACCCCAGTCAAAACCCTCAGACTTAGCTGCTGCCACCAGGGAAAGTAGGGGAACTGAAATGCTTCTGAGGAATGAAGAACTCAACCACACTCCCCTTATCAGAAATAACCATGAAGAAACAATATTAATCCTTCCATTTCAATTCCCCTACTTGAACACATGCCTTAGGTTCAGAGTTGGTTCTCTGGGCAGTGCTTTCCTATGGTACCATCAACAAAAGAAAAAGGCTATGGAATTGCTAAATTTAAGTTAGCATTTCCCAAACTCTTTCAATCAATCAATCAATCAATCAATCAATCAAACTATGTATAAAGTGCTGCCCTTTGGGGAGGTTTGGAACCACTATTGTAAGTGAAGGTCTTTTTCCCTGATCATTTTCAAGGGTAAATCTGGTACAATTAAAAGTAAAGAAGGGTGGAGATGTGGCGGTAGGGATATAAATCTAAAGCCGAGGAAAACAAGATGAATATTTCCAGAATGAAACCGTGTCTTTTAGTGAACACAAATCAATGCACTGGAGATCGAGTCTGAACTGAAACACTGTTCAATTTTACCAAGTCTTAAGTAGGCAAACTGTTGCTGAAGCAAAAGGTCTGGTGTCTGAATAGTGATTTGGTTTTTTGTCTTTATAATGCAACATTTCCTTACGTTGTTTAGAAAAAAAAGAAAACAACCCTTCTTTGACTAATACCTTTATGGTTTCAGTAGGCACTCCAGGCTCTGGAACTTTATCCAAATAAGTGGTCAGGTCTTGATCAACATGCTCAAACACTAGTGTTAGCTTGGTTTCTCTGTCTGTTCGTGACACTGTGCATACATCAAACAACCTGAGAGGAAGAAAAGAGTAGATGAGTAAATGGAATTCAGTAAAGCAGCAATTTGCAGTCAATACATGTATATTCCTATTTATTAAAAAACATGACGTGAAGATAGGATTTTCCAGAGGGACAGTCTTCGAGCTCTCAAGTGATTACTGTTCATTTGTGGTACTGCATTCCTATTTTATTTTTCAATTCTGAAATCACAAACATTAATAATTCACATGATCAAAAAGCAGCTCTGTAAAGGAGATACAGACACAATCACAGTTAAAGGAATACTGACAATGATCATATTTTTATATATTTTCTCTCCCATCTTGAAGTTTGCCACAGTCTCGTTTGTCTTCAAAGGGAATACAAATAAACAGTGATGTTTTGGAGAAACAAAAAAGCTGTTGGCTCACACGCTTCTTTTAATGTTTTCCACTTGCCATGTATATCAACAAGGTTTTTCACATAATTTGAAATCAAGTTCCCTCACTTTTGCAGAAACCTAGCATCTTTGCACATCCGAGTGTTCTTGTAAATTGCAAACAGCAGGAAAAAATAATCAAGAACCTAAGTTTATAAAAAAATATTTTTTTATATAAAATGCAGCTGCTAAAACAGTGTTCCTTTAACACTCTGATCAAGTCACCCTCTTACTTGAATGCCTCTGCTCTTTTACTGTTTCATAGCATTGGATTCAAGCTTATCTTTGTTTTCAAGGTTCTTTGATGCTACCACCTTTCCTAACTGCACTTTATCATGCATCAGCAGGTGCATGACAAATTGAACCAAGGAGGAACCCCTCTATCGGGCGCTGGTCAGACCACAGTTGGAATACTGCATGCAGTTTTGGGAGTCACACTTCAAGAGGGATGTGGATAACCTGGAGAGGGCCAGAGAAGGGCCACTCGTATGGTTAAGGGCTTGTAGGCCAAGCCCTATGAGGAGAGACTGGGGCACCTGGACCTCTTCAGCCTTGGCAAGAGATGGTTGAGAGGCGACCTTGTGGCTGCCTATAAATTCATCATGGGGGCGCAGATGGGAATTAGTGAGGCTCTACTTACCAAGGCGCCCCTGGGGGCCACAAGAAATAATGGCCATATGCTAGCAGAGAGCAAATTTAGACTGGACATTAAGAGGAACTTCTTCACAGTTAGAATGGCCAAAATCTGGAATGGGCTCCCAAGGGAGGTGGTGCTCTCCCCTACCCTGGGGGTCTTCAAGAGGAGGTTAGATAAGCATCTAGCTGGGGTCATCTGAACCCAGCACTCTTTCCCAGCTCTCTTTCCTGCCTATGCAGGGCGTCAGACTCGATGATCTATTGAGGTCCCTTCTGACCCTAACATCTATGAATCTATGTATCTCTCTTTGCTTCTTGCTGTGATATCTTACATTCTGTCTCACCAGTCATGCCATATCAATCTGCCTTTTTGTCTATTTTGAATGCACATTTGTGCCTGCTCAAATGGCTACCCCTCAGAATGCAATAAATGCCCTCCTTAAGTGACCTGGAGGCCAATGTCTTTTCCTCTGTCAAATCCTACTCAAGTCAAATCCTACTTACCCCTGTCAAAGTCCCTATAGGAAATCTTTTCATTAAAGATGGCAAACAGAGAAAAGAGAGAGCTACATAAATAGGTATATTAGTATTTATTTTAAAAATGTGCAGATTTGATTACTTCTCTCTGTGAAATGAGAAATAAAAATATTCAATAAATTTATCATTTTTAAAAGAAATACATAGCACGGCAGCACTTGAGGAAAAAAGAGTAAGCATTTTTGACAGGAAGAATATGTTATAACTTTGGTAACATTTTGACGTTAATGGTGAAAAGTTTATTTTGGGTCTAAATTAAGGATGCTGTGTTTCGATAACATACATTTCTTTATAAGCAACAGGTATCATGTACTTGTTCACTGTGTGAGTAGTATTAAGATTTATGATATTATTAAGTAATAATTTTCCTGCTTTGATACTCAACATTAAATTCCCAATATTTCAGGTCTGTAGCCAAATCCTAGTGTACTAGGCAACTCTGCTTCTCGCCCAGTCACTAATTTTTAATTATGCTATAAAAAATACAGTTCATAGAAAAGCTTTTCATTTATCTGGTACTTCTTCCATCTGTAGATTTCATAAGTCCTATTTTCCTTTGTAAAACATTTTAATCTCCAGCTAACTAAAGTAAAAATTTGAACCAAGAAATGTAAGAGCCACTGTGCTTCACTGGTAAATTTAAGAGGCTAGCACCTAGGGGGTCTGATTCATAGATGTTAGGGTTGGAAGGGACCTCAATAGATCATCGAGTCTGACCCCCTGCATAAGCAGAAAAGAGTGCTGGGTCTAGATGACCCCAGCTAGATACTCATCTAACCTCCTCTTGAAGACCCCCAGGGTAGGGGAGAGCACCACCTCCCTTGGGAGCCCGTTCTTGACCCTGGCCACTCTAACTGTGAAGAAGTTCTTCCTAATGTCCAATCTAAATCTGCTCTCTGCTAGCTTGTGGCCATTATTTCTTGTAACCCCCGGGGGCGCCTTGGTGAATAAATACTCACCAATTCCCTTCTGTGCCCCCGTGATGAACTTATAGGCAGCCACAAGGTCGCCTCTCAACCTTCTCTTGCGGAGGCTGAATAGATCCAGTTTCTCTAGTCTCTCCTCGCAAGGCTTGGTCTGTAGGCCCTTAATCATACGAGTGGCCCTTCTCTGGACCCTCTCCAGGTTATCCGCATCCCTCTTGAAGTGCGGCACCCAGAATTGCATGCAGTACTCCAACTGCGGTCTGACTAGCGCCCGATAGAGGGGAAGTATCACCTCCTTGGACCTATTCGTCATGCATCTGCTGATGCACGATAAAGTGCCATTGGCTTTTTTGATGGCTTCGTCACACTGCCGACTCATGTTCATCTTGGAGTCCACTAGGACTCCAAGATCCCTTTCCACTTCCGTGCCACCCAGCAGGTCATTCCCTAGACTGTAGGTGTGCTGGACATTTTTCCTCCCTAGGTGCAGCACTTTGCATTTCTCCTTGTTGAACTGCATTCTGTTGTTTTCTGCCCACTTGTCCAACCTGTCCAGATCTGCTTGCAGCTGTTCCCTGCCCTCCGGCGTGTCCACATCTCCCCATAGCTTTGTGTCATCTGCAAACTTGGACAGAGTACATTTCACTCCCTCGTCCAAGGCACTGATGAAGACATTAAAGAGTATCGGTCCAAGGACCGAACCCTGTGGGACCCCACTGCCCACACCCTTCCAGGTCGAAGCCGACCCATCCACCATGACTCTCTGGGTGCGGCCCTCCAGCCAACTCACCACCCACCGGACTGTGTAGTCATCCAAGTCACAGCCTCTTAACTTGTTCACCAGTATGGGGTGGGATACCGTATCGAAGGCCTTCCTGAAGTCTAAGTATACGACATCCACCCCTCCTCCTGTGTCCAGGCGTTTCATAACCTGGTCATAAAAAGAAACTAGATTGGTCAGGCACGATCTGCCTGCCACGAACCCGTGCTGGTTTCGCCTCAGCATAATTTGTCCTGCCGGGCTCTCACAAATGTGAGCCTTGATAATTTTTTCAAAGACTTTGCCAAGGATGGAGGTGAGACTGACTGGTCTATAGTTGCCCGGGTCCTCCTTCCACCCCGTCTTGAAAATGGGGACCACGTTGGCCCTTTTCCAGTCCTCCGGGACTTGGCCCGTGCGCCACGAGCTTTCAAATATTCCCGCCAGTGGCTCTGCAATGATGTCGGCCAGTGCCTTCAGCACCGTCGGATGCAGCTCATCCGGGCCTGCCGACTGATCATGGCTTTAATGAGAGTTTTCTCTGCAATATTTGTCTAGTCACTCAAAATTTGTTTCTTAGCTACTCCATTTTGAAACCTGATGTGTGCACATGCCTTTATGCATGTTGGAAAGAAATAATTTAATCAGAACTTAGAGATTTCTTTAACTTTTAAAATGGAGCCCTAAGTGATTCAGATAAATAATTAAAGTACCATATTTACTTGAATGCAAGATGCCTCTGAATATAAGATGGCCACCTAATCATTAGATTCTATATACAGAAAAATGTTTAATTTGTTATAATTTGCCAGGTGTAGAATCTCATTATTGGAGCACTGTCTTGAATTCAGCCCCCTCCCACTACTACAGCAGGGAAAATAATGGCTGGGCAGGTCAGGTGGTCCCCCTACACTTTGCCCCCCACTTCTTCCCCCTGCAGCTTTCCCCACCCTTACTGGCAAGACACTGCTCAGGCTCTGTTCCTTTCTCAAGCATAACATGGAAGTAAGCTGCATGTGACACGGGCGGGGGAGGGGGCGGGGAGAGAAGGGACTGAGAGGAGGAAAGAAACTGCAGGGGAAAACAGGAGACTGCTGTGGCTCTTACTCTGGCCCCAACCCTGACTGTTGCAAATTTCAGCAGATACTACATAAACATATTTTTGAGCAACAATTAAAGTTTTGTTTTTTAATTTTTCATGTTCCAAGCCAAATCAGCCAAATCAAATCCAAATCCATGAGTCAGTCCAGGACCATAAGTGGCCTGACAGCCAGCAAACATCCTCCACCCCCACCAGGGGCTTCAGTTATTTCCAAAGTCTCTTGGCAGGCATCCTATGAGCAGGCCCAACCCTGGAGGCCTGGGGCTCGGATGTCCCCAAGTTTCACCTGCCCTCAGCCATATGGCCACAGGAGCAAGCTAGGGAGGCTCCTCCCCGAGCAACAATTATATCTATTTATACATAGTACAAAATGTGCAATTTAGTACAGACTTTTCATATAGTTCATTGGGCTGGGTCACAACAGAGTCAGCAGCATTTCAAGCCATGGTGATGCCAAAGCCCAGCATTGCTCAGTATGGATGTATACTCCAGATACCCACTACAAAGGAGCCATGTGGTAATTAGCTCCCCACTCATGACTGGAACTGGGTGTTCTTGTCACAAGTCCTGGGACCCTCCAAAATTTTATATGCAGATCAGGTGCAGTGCTACCTGGTCCATCTCCACCCCATA